TGAAGTGTGCTCACTGCAACAAATGTGTCCCCATTCAGCATTCAGGACAGACCTTTAATGTGGAGGATGTGTTACTTGTGCTACCAGTGAAGTTGTCATACTGAAATGTCCATGGGGGAGACTGTGGTTCAGTGGGTAGAGTGGCCATCAAGTGTCTTTGGGCAAGACACTGAACCCCCAAGTTGTTCCTGATGGTTAGAGACATCAGTTGAGTTGGCACCGCAGATGGCTGCCTCGGTTCTGTACCAGAAACAAATTCTTTGTGTGTAACATACTTAACCAAATAAAGGTGATTATTATCCTATCCGTGTGCATGCAACCAGGTACTGCAGTTCTCATGAATGCCACAAGATGGCACTGGCCCTTTTGGGGTACCCCTGAGAGCACAAAAGAAATAGCACACAGGGAAGCCAGGACATAGGAAAGCATCATGTTTACCAAATGCATGCAGTTGTCTGTAGAATGGTTTGTGGGAAATCTGGTGTAGCTGGTACTGTGTATCGTGTCCTGCCAGGACATTTGTTCACCTGGGTGGATGCACATTCATTGCATGCAAGGCTTTAATAAAAACAAAAGAAATGCATTTTCTGTTGAAATTGCATGTGGATGCTGATATGCTGAAGGATCACCCTGAAAATGCCTGAAATCAATTGCTGAAACAGCTGAAGGATGAGAAGAAATGGTTGAAGTTCTTTGTTGAAATAGCTAAAGTCAAAGTCAAAGTGTTTATTTGTCATATGCACAGTTAGGAAACGTGTTTCCCTGTACAATGAAATTCTTACTTTGCTGTCCACTTGAGGATGGAGGCAGCTTTTCTACACACCCTGCAGTGGTAAATGCTCTGCAGAGAGGGCAGTGGAGTCCTGGTGATCTTCTCCACAGTCTTTACCACTCTCTGCAGGTGCTTGCGGTCCATAGCAGTAGTGCTGCCATACCAGACAGTGATGCAGCTGGTCAAGATGCTCTCAGTGATGTAGCTGTAGAAGTTGCTGAGGATGAGATGCAATGCTTAACAATTGTGGAAGTTGAAAAAATGTCGATTATTTATGGAAGATGAAAACAAAAAGTTGAATGATTATGTAAGATGAAATCAAAAGCTGAAGTTAGGAAGTTATTTTCTAAAAAAAAGAGTATTCAGACCCCCTTAAATTTTTCACTCTTTGTTATATTGCAGCCATATGCTAAAATCATTTAAGTTCATTTTTTTCCTCATTAATGTACACACAGCACCCCATATTGACAGAAAAACACAGAATTTGACATTTTTGCAGATTTATTAAAAAAGAAAAACTGAAATATCACATGGTCATAAGTATTCAGACCCTTTGCTCAGTATTTAGTAGAAGCACCCTTTTGAGCTAATACAGCCATGAGTCTTTTTGGGAATGATGCAACAAGTTTTTCACACCTGCATTTGGGGATCCTCTGCCATTCCTCCTTGCAGATCCTCGCCAGTTCTGTCAGGTTGGATGGTAAACGTGGGTGGACAGCCATTTTCAGGTCTCTCCAGAGATGCTCAATTGGGTTTAAGTCAGGGCTCTGGCTGGGCCATTCAAGAACAGTCACGGAGTTGTTGTGAAGCCAATCCTTCGTTATTT